CCGACCTTCCATCCAGCGGAATCCGCAAACCCTGTGCACACGGCACAGCGCACAGGGCCCCCTCACCTGGTTTAGCCCGCCGGTCGAGACGGTTGCCCGGGGTGTGGCCGCTGAGCAGAGCCCAGCTACGTGGAGCCACAGATGAGAGTTGAGTGCCAGCAAGTGGACGCTAGGCGCAGTCTCACCTGCAAGCAAGTGAGCGACCACCACGACCATTACGTGAACCCACCGCTGACACCCCTACACCCCTTCTACTAATACTAATGTTATTACTACATCTACTGCTAACAATGACACGACTACCAATTCGTATACTCATACTAGTACTACAACTACTTCTGATATTACTACTACTGTTACTACTACTAGTACTTCTAATGATGATAATGCTACTTCTGCCAATGCTGCTGCTGGTACCTTAAAATCATAAACAAAATCAAGTACTACAGCTACCGCTGATACTAATACTACCACTGCTGCTACAACTACTATTAGTACTAAAATAATAAATTTGCCCATGCTTATTCCACTGCCATTAAGTCTACTACTACTTCTATTACTAGAACTACTACTAATAATATTTATACTAATAATACTACTATTACTACTGCTACTACTACTACTACTACTACTTGTACGACGTCATCTACTAGTAAATATTTCGCTGCTGCTTCTGGGAATTTGATGTTTTACTAATTTTGATATATCCATTTCTATTTCTACTACTACCCCTATCGTTACCATCAATAATATGTTTAAATCTTCTACTAATAATTTTACTACTTCTATTACTACTATTAAATTGATTACTGTTAATAATAATGCTACTACTAACAATAACTCTGCTGCTATAAAGATGTCTACTACTATTACTACTACTACTACTACTACTGTTACTACTACTACCACTACCACTACCACCACTACTACTACTACTACTAATACTTTTAATACTCTACTACCACTACTACTGCTGGTATTCCTACTTTTATTCATATGTCTGCTACTAATTCCACTGATATTCTTATTACCGCTACTATTTCGTTACTGCTACACCAACTGTTACTAGTACTACCATTACAGTTATGACGAATACTGGTATTAACAATTCCACTAGTGGTACTTCTAAAAAACCTAATACAACTTCTATTTCAACAACAAAAACCACAACAAATACTTATACTAATACTGCTACTGCTATTTCAACTACTACTACTCATACTTATATTGCTACTAAAAATTCTGCCACTGCTACTAGTACTATTGCTACTACAATTATTATTACCAATTCTACGACTACTACCACCACTATTTCTGCCTCAAATACTATTACTACTACTACTACTACTACTACTACTGCTACTACTACCACTACCATTACTACTACTACTACTACTACTACTACTACTACTACTACTACTACTAGAACTTCTATTACTACTGCTGCTGCAGCTGCTGGTGCTACTACTCCCAACCAAGACAGCCACCGACACCACCACCACTACTACCATTTCCACTACCAATACCACCTCTGCCGCTGTTACTCCTACTACTACTGCTCCTATTTCTGCTTGTTTTACTGCTACATCTACTACTACTACTACTACTACTACTACCACCTCAACTAATAATACTTGTGCTCCAACTGCTTCCACTACTACTGCTGCTAATACTAACACCGCTAGTACGTCTTCTACTGCATTTGCTTCTTATATTACTACTGCTTCTACAACTTATTCTGCAACGTATATTACTACTGTTACTTCCTCTGCCTCCTCTACTATCACTGCTACTATTGCCACTACTTCTACTACTGCTAATGCATATTCTACCGCTACTACCATTGCTAAAATTGCGAAATCTTCTACTGCAGCTACTACAAATGCTTGCGCTATTCCCACTGATTCTGCTCCTACAACCTCCGATAATGCTACTAATACTGTTGCCAATTTACCATTGCTACTATAGCTACCACTTCTACCACTTCTACTACTACTACTACTACTACTTCCACTTCTGCTGCTAGTACTACGTCTTCACCATGTACAACTTCTGCCGCTACTTCTACTACTAATACCACTATTGCTACCACTACTGCTTCCACTACTACCACTGCTTCTATTGATACTATTTCTACTAATACTTCTACCACTACTGCTACTGCTACTACTACTACTACTACTACTTCCGAGTCTACTGCCAATATTACTTCTACTACTACTGCTGCCACTTCCACTAGTACTACTACTACTACTACTACTACTAATATTACTACTACTACTACTGCTACTATTACTACTACTACTACTACTACTACTACTACTACTACTACCACTGCTCATTTTACCACTACTTTTACTTCCTCCGCTGCCACATCTACTACGGCAACTACTACTACAACAACTACTACCATTACTCTTATTGCTTTACCAATTCCACTGCTACTACTACCACTACCACTGCTTCTACTACTACAATACTACTACTAATTCCTCTGTTGGTGCTACTACTACTACTACCACTGCTACTTTTGCTACTGTTACTGCTACTTCTAATTCTACTACTCCTTCTACTACTACGATGACTAAGAATGCTACTGCTATTACCATTACTTCTGCTACTACTATTCCTACTACTACGACTACTACTACTTCGACTACCATCTGTGCTACGTTAACTCCTAATTATACTACTCCTACTGCTGCTACTACAACTACTACTACCACTGCTGCTAATAATATCACTGCTGCCACTGATACTTCCTCTACCACTGCTGCTAATACTACTTCTACGTCGGCTACCGCCGCTACTTCTACTAATGCTACTACTACTTCTACTCCTTATTCTTCTTCTACCACCAATACTTTTTCTACTACTTCTAATTTTACTTCTACTTCTACGCTGTTATTATTTCTACTATTACTGCAACTACTCCTTATACTAGTAGTAATGCTACTATTACTATTACTACTACTACTACTACTACTACTACTACATTACTACCACTAGTGCTGGTACCGCTGCTGCAGCTACTACTACTGTTTGTCCTGCCTCCGCTACTGATTCTACCTCTACTACTTCTTCCACTATTGCTTCTACTACTACTACTACTACTACTACTACTACTACTTCTACTACTACTACTACTACTACTACTACCACTACTACTACTACTACTACTACTACTACTACTACTACTACCACTACTACTACTACCACTACACTACTACTACTACTACTACTACTACTACTACTACTGCTGATACTACTACTGTTATTACCACCGATGCTGCTGTTACTATTACTTCCACTACTACTCCCACTTCTACTATTTCTACTACTATTATCATTACTCCTACCACTTCTGGAGCTGACAGTTCGATCATCGATTTCGATGATGTCCACCGTGTGCCCCACAGCAGGTTGGAGCAGGGACGGTGACTTACGCAGGGGTTTATAGTGCCAGTAGACATGCGCTGCATCTACCTGCCCGGTGTCAAGACAGAGTCAAGAAGACCGGAGACGAGGGAGGCCGCAGGTGGATGGCTCGGACGGATCCTCACCTTGGCGTTCCACCAGACCCCCTGGTCCACATAAAAATAACCAGGATTTCAACTAACACGAGAGAGATTTGGAGGCTGGCACGGCCGAAGCCGCACCTGGGCGTGCCGCCAACGCCTGGCTCGGATCCCACACTGTGGTGGGAATGCCATAAAGGCCACATTAGAAAGGAGCCCTTGCAGCCTGACTCTCAGACCGCCTCCAGTGAAGGAGGAGGTCCAAGGTACCCCGTCAGTTGGCAACCTTCCAAGCCACGGCTTTTAGCGCACCGTGATAGCTTCAAGCGCGTCAGATTGTTTATAGTGAGGAGAAAGTGCGCTGAGTCGTCGACCTCACTCTCCCTTCCATCCCCACACCCCAGCCGCTGTCCGAGCCGGTCAGAAGACTGGAGTGGGGAATGGGCGCGGTGGCTGACATGGTCGACTGACCATGTCTGCGCGCGCCACAGCACGACCTGGCCCCCCATACACACACAAACACCAGGATTTCACACAACGGGGGTTGAACGGCGTGTCTCTCACTTGCGTGAGAGGGCCGTGGAAGGTGCTGCTTCAGCCCGTTCCCAGCCCACCAGTCCGCCACTCCACACAGCACACACACACAACGCGACGAACTGCGTGAACCGAGAGCAGGCGTCAATCAGCAACCTTCCTATCCACGACACTTGAAGTGTCGGGATAGTCTTGGACTCATATCAACCGTGCAGCCGAAGCCGCGTGGGGACCGAGTCGAGATGCACACTTCCCACTTGCGTGGAAGGTGGCAGTCGGTGCATGCGGTGGGTGAGTGTTGATGTGTGTTGGTGATGGTGGAGGAGGGTAGGGAGTTTGTGGATGTGTGGTGTAACCGGCGGTTGTCTACCGCAGGTCGTCGTGGATGCGCATATGGCCGAATAGGCCCATGCGGTGCCTGAAAGTGCGAGGACAGTGTGGGCAGTTGAGACGACCTTGGTGAGTGTAGGTTGGTGCTCCAGGCACTGGTTCTCCGGTCTCTGTGCGATGGATTCGCAAGTGACCGACCAGGCCGATGCGAGAGGTGAATATGCGTGGACAGTGTGGGCATGTGAAGTCGGCGGTGTCAGAATCAGCTACAAAGGAGGCGTTGGTGGTGGCGCAGATGGACGGTGCGCGGGTGGTGCTGGGCATGATGGGCGTGGTTGGCGTGTCGGAATTGTGGTAAATTTCGCTCTCATGGATGCGCATGTGGCCGAATAGACCCATGCGATGCGTGAAGGTGCGAGGGCAGTGTGGGCAGTGGAGGCGAGTGCGGTGGGTGTAGGTTGGTGCTCCAGGCACTGGTTCGCCGGTCTCTGTGCGATGAATTCGCAAGTGACCGACCAGGCCGATACGTGAGGTGAAGATGCGATCGCAGTGAGGGCAGGTGTAGTCCTGATTCTCATTGCTGGAGTCGGGAGAGGCGGGGGTTGTGCCGGTTGTTGTGTCGCGGTTGGTGATGTGCGAGACGGCTGCCTGAGCGGCCGCCGTTGGGGCAGCGGTGGTGGAGGAGGAGGAGGAGGCGGAGGGGGAGGAGGAGGAGAAGGGGGAGGAGGACTGCTGGAGCTAATACTACTACTTCTACTACTGCGTTGACATCAGTGTCATAATCATCATCTTTATAGGTACCATCGCTGTAGTCATCTTATCCTATCGGCTATGACAAAGTTAGTCAGAATGAATACAATCATTTTCGTCATTATGCAATACTTACAGCACCACCACCATCATCACCACCACCACCACCAACACGGCTGTCCTCACATCGATCGACATCGTCAGTACGACTGCCGTTATTAATAGGGACCCGAGCATTCCCACCACCGATAGCATCAGGGCCATTATGATTATCACCATTATCCTCACCAACGCCATTAGTGCGCAGAAGAACCTCTTGCACGCTCCGCGTCTGCTCTGGGCCTGGATCGATTAACTGTACGCACTTCTCCGCGCTCCGTCCCTTCTCCCTCCCCCTTGTGACACGACTCTATTTAACACTCACTTTCACTGCCTCCTCCCCCCCCTCTATTCACATACCCCGTTTGCATAAAAAGACGAACCGTAATCGAGTGCTCTTATCGCTCACACGTTTCAGTTTGTACCTCGTCCCCATATACATGTACAAGCCTGATGAGAATTTATCGAAAGCACGCGTATGCTTGCCAAATGCTCTTCCCAATTATAATTTTCAGTAGTATCTTCCTCATTATCAACAGCACAAAAATTAATGATGGACTCATCGCCAAAATTATTGCGAGCATAATCAATAACACCTTAGTCTTCGTCCTCAACTTCATCCAAATTGACATCGCAGGCAAGTTGTCAAGATTATGACGGTTGGTATTAACGTGACAGCATCATCATCATCATCATCATCATCATCATCATCATCATCATCATCATCATCATCATCATCATCATCATCATCATCATCATCATCATCATCATCATCATCATCATCATCATCATCATCATCATCATCATCATCATCATCACCATCATCACCATTGTCAGCGTCATCTTATTCTTCTTCTTCTTTTTCTCATTTTTACAACTACCGTCGGTACTGTGGGCGTCGCTATCTTTGCAAATAAAATCTCCGTCATCGTCAGCAGTGGTAGTAGTGGCGGGAAGATATTAACACCATCCGCAACTGCCCTAAACTGACCAATCCTGTCTCCCCAATGGCCAAACGTGTACTTTGCACGCCTTTGGCAAATTCACATTCGTCCAGTTATCAAATTGTTGTTTTTCTTACCTTTGCGTACTCCCCCCTCTACCCCCCCCCTCAGAGTGAATCAGCAGCATCCAAACTCTGTCCGTAACAACTTTGCCTTACGCCCATTTAGTACATTTGTTGACGTCTGAAAAGGTCAGCGACCTGACTGGTACATTTGCATCGGAGGGCGACCTTTACAGAGCGACCGATTTCTACCGTTCCCGAGTGTGCACGTATAAATTGTGGCGGCCAGAAAAGTGGTCGAACGGAATGTTATATGGTGCACGTGGAGAATTAATTCTGGTTGGGGCTGACAAGGTGTGAATTAGCGGCAGAAGTGGAAGCGAAGGGTTGACTGGCGTTGTCATCTGTTAGTTTGCAGTCTCGGCAATCTGACGCGAATACTCTTGCTTGTATTCCCCTTCCCCATCTGTCGAGTTTGGCGCTATATTCTGCGTCATGGAACTTATTCGGCTGAGGGATTTTCAAATGAACTGTTAGGGTGCAATGCGGCCTATGCAAATTATTATGGGCAATAATTCTAATTTTACAGCAACCACGGGGGCTTAAAGGTAAAAGAATGAGTACTAGTCATACAGCCTAGAGTCTTGGAACTGAACACTCTGGACGGTATTATTGTTTTACATACGCCTTCTGGACGTCGGATGATGCGAGAAACATAACGGCGTTGAAACGCCGAATGAAGTCTATTTAAATAATTAACGTACGCGTCAGCATTGCAAGACTAATTTTGGTGAATGTAAGCATAAATTTATCGTTTCCTTCTTTTATCTAGTATTTTACTCACCATCTCTTGGCAGAAGAGTACAGGATATAATCTTCACAAAATTTACGCAACATAACAGTTGTTACAGAATGGTCCCATAAATTTTTATGCAGACTTCAGCTATGAGTAGACGGTTAGTAAAGTTTTAATATCAAATAATGCGATCGACGCTACCGATTTACACATATGCTTTCATCTATGAAACCTTCTCCCTCTTCTCCGGTATGCATGAAGCCTAACTACACCGCCTGAGAAATTGCGCTACTTTAAAAATTAGTTACTCGTTTTCTAGTAGAGGGAGCGTTAACATATGACCGTTCTTAGTAATTAAGGGTCAGGCAGATGCGTTTGGTAAGGCCGCACTGTCTGAAGTGTTTTGACCAGAGTAAACGACTTACCTCACTGTCAGAATGATATAAAGGAGCAAAAGCACAAACTAGAGCCAATCAGCGAAGACCAACTTACCCACCGGTGTCAGGCCTGTTGCTTTTTTGTCCGGTAAACCATCCGTACACCGCATAGCCGGCTCCAGCAATTCTGGATCTAGAAATTACGTCGTAAGGCGTTTCCTGCTCTTGTGAGCTCCCATGACTGATTGATTAACGTGGGATGCGTTTGCCCAGTGTCGACTTTACTACCTGTCCTGTATGCCTTGTTTCCCTGGCTTGGCTAACTAGTGGACTGTGCTGCAGATGTGCGGGGTAAAAGCAGGATCGGTCTGGCTCACGGTACGCGTCTATCCGGCTGCGCCGTGTCTGCGCGAGTCTGTAAAAGCTGTAGCACATGCGTGTAGATGGCACTCTGTCGCGTTAACGAATGCACCCCTCTTTCATCATTTTGTCGGTTTACAGTCCCCTGTGCACGGAAGAGAGAGGAGAGTGTGAGGCCGACACTGGGTAATCCGTCCTAGCAGCACAACAGAGCATTTATCATTAAAGCAAATCCGACGGTTTGACCCTATCACGACGTGTTCATGTTCGCGGAGTGGAAGTTTATCAACCACGGAGTATCTCGGTTATCATAGGTGTATTTCGAGTGATCGGATGACAGAGATTCGGGTTACAGCTGTTCCCTTTTAATGATGGCCCCTGTAACGCTCCCAGTTATGTGTAGTCTAAGCCGCCCTGGAGCATTTTGCAGGTAGCTGGTCGGGTGTGACATTTTGATTCACTAGGCCCGGGCCCACCCCGGCCGTCGTTACGTTGTCTTGCTATCAGAGCCTGGTGGATGAGGGAGTAGAGGGCGTGGTGGATACAACGCAAGTCTGTCTCACTGCAAACTAACTCACGCGCAAGTTACCGGTGCTGGCTCCACGCCGCGGGGCATGCGGCAAGCATCGCCACCTGAGACGATCAAATTGTCACAAGCTAAACAATACTTCCCTCAGAAGGTGTGCCAACGTGTCAATTGTGCATTGAGTTTCCTCAGGAAGATCGAGCAAATAGTCAATCATTAATGCGATAGGGACGATTCTGAGCATCAAGTTTGCCTTGACGTTGTGATCTCGTGTTACGGATTTTAAAACTGAGGGGGGAGGCTGTAGGAGCCGAATTAGGTCGGACATGGCTTCCCTCGAACCAGTCGCTTATGGGACTATAGACCCCCTGTTCAAAAGATGACCTTGCCTAACTATTTCCGTACCCTGCCTTCAGATCCAACTCTTTTATCACAAACTCTCCTAAGTCCAACCCCCCCCCCGAAGTGTAACAAATGTCACCTCTAATACGGGGTCCATATTCTTGTAACCTAAGGACTTTTGAGTGAGTGACAGGGTTGGTTGCCAGTGTACAATACTAGATGCTATTTTTATGTAAATCCATAAAGTTCAGACAGGCGTCTGCAGACAGCCCTGAAACACTCGGACTCAATTCCTCTCCAGTCTCCTAAAGCCGTCAGTTCTTGTAAGTCAATTATTGCCTTATTTCTACACTTTTCCCCGACCTCTCTCGTCAGGTTTGTTGAAGTGCACTTGTTGCCGAGACCCACCTATCGCTCATGTTTATGTTCAATTACTAACAGCAGACCTTCTGCGTCGTCAAACATACTTATTGGCAGGTCGAAATTTGGCTCAGCAGTTGATCTGACTCTTACCTGGTCAAATGATACAGTAGGTGGGCTACCTCATGAAATGTCAACCGAAAGTGCGAAGTATGTTTTCGTTTCGAAAAGATTAATTAAGAAGGGTTGTAAAACTAATCAAAGTGCAACATAATTTTAAAATAATCCAGTTACCTCGAAACGCTGGCTTGTTAAAAAACATCTTTCCGACTTCATGCAAAAACTACTGCTACTACTACTACTACTACTAATACTACTCCTACTACTACTACTACTACTACTACTACTACTACTACTACCACTACTATTACTACAATTACTACTACCGCCTTACTAATTTTACAGCAGATACTGCTACTACTACCAATGCTTCTGCTACTAATTCTACTGCTGTCATTACTACCACTGCTACTTCTACTACTGTTACCACTACTTCTAATTCTACTTATCCTGCTACTATCACTACAACGACTGCTAATTCTGCTACTACTACTACTACTACTACTACTACTACTAATACTTCTGCTACTACTACTTCTACTACCATAAGTGCTACTTCAACTGCTAATCCTTCTCATGCTACTGCTACTACTTCTGCCTACTTATGTAGCATGCATTTTTGTCATCAATTTTCACTGCTCTTAAAAACTCAATTGTATTTCATAGAAAACGTGCGTAAAAATATTCATTCTTTTACTCATTCAGCAGAAAAAATATGTCTTCTAATTTTATACTTGAAGAAAGGGAATAATTCGGTTTTTAAAAAGTTCTTAATTATGAGATTTTTTACGACCGTGAAATGCCTCTTCATACAACATCGTGTCTCTGCATTTAGTAATGTGGATTCTTAAGTTTACATTGTGGTTCAAATTCATTGCTAAATTTTACAAACCCCATACGGTCTCCTATCAATATCGTAGAGGAATGTATGGTTGTGCGCACGCTGAAAATATACGGCTTGTAGTTTGATAACCCTGAATGCAGGTGTAACGGCTGGTCGGGGTTCAAAATTATATGAGAAGTAGAAACGTTTTTAAAAAACCTTTTCAAGTATAAAATTGGAAGAAGACTCAATTTTTTACCGAATGCGTAAAAGAATGAATATTTTGATGCATATTTTCCATGAAATACTATAGGGTTTTAAGGGCATCGAAAATCGATGAGAAAAATGCATGCTACTTAGGCAGTCATTTTTTGCAGAGTATAATTCTTGCATGCAGTCCGAAATAAGTTCTTTTGAAAGCCCACACCCTGAAGTGACTGGATCATTATAGAATTATGCTGCAAGATGATTAGTTTTACAACCCAATTTAATTAATCTTTTTGAAACAAAAGTGCATTTCAGAATTTTTGTTGGCATTTCATGAGTTTGCGCACCTACTGTACATGAAATGCACATTTTGCCGGGGTTATCGGTTTGTCAGTATGCAGGTGGGCCCGTAGCACCTCAAGCCTTTCGTCAACACTGAGCAAGGTCTTCTGTGATTACGCATCCCTAGCGGCCAGAACGTGCGCACATGTAACCTCCGGGACAGCCAATCACAGGCGCCCACTATCTGCGCGCTCACCCAATCAACTCATCAAGCTGACACTAACTAACTCCCATATGATTTTCATGCCCACATCGTTTTGACGGACGCAAGTGCGTGCTGGCCCAGGGACGTCAGCACATTGGGGGCTCTAACTACTATTGAGTTTCTGCACTGAGTACATCGCCCCTGGTGTCTTTACTCTTTTCCTCTCAAATGGGAGGACTGGATCGTGATTAATGCGACGTTTTGAGTACATTAACTACCAAAAGCCTCAAACGTGGTTAGCGGGGAACATACGTCCAGTTCAGCTTTTACGCTGTAGCATGCTGGCCGCCGCGTAAGGGTCCTTATAGTCACTCTCGTGAGTCAACTTGACGGAATCCTCGCTACGTATTTAGTGTATACTGTTCTCACTCAGTCCTAATGTCTACATCAGTTCAGTCATAAGCAAGATCTTATTTCGTAGCCGTACTTATTAGTGGTTAGGAGTTAGGGTTATGCTGGATCTTGTCTATTTTAGGTACGTCTACGAAATGTCATCCAACCCATCTACGTTTTAGAGAGCCTGAGCTGAAAATATGCCCTTCAATTCGTGATATAGAAAATTAAAGTGGAGGCGTTATCTCATGATATGCTGACTGAAGTTCTGAAATGTGATTTCGACTTCAAAAATTTGCTTAAGATGACTTGTAACATTAATTTTCTTACAGCAAAATCTTGAGATATTTCAGTCACGTAAGGACATCGGCTTTGGAATGAGCTCCTCTTCGTCTGTATGCAAAAACTACGCTCTGTGAATGGTGACTACTTAAGAAGTACCGATTTGCACGTTGATATTCGGCATTGTAAGCCCAGTTATATTCTATAGAGAATATGCACAAAACTGGGTTATAAGTGGTTATGTAGCCCGACCTGAAGTAAACAAACTCCAGTGACCGGTAATACCGGACCGGTGGTAATAGAGGTTTTGACAAGTGGAGCCGGGGAACGCACAGGCGACGAGGTCAAGTAATTGTATGCAAAAGAAAAGTTATTTGAAATGCGCGGTTGTACTTTGAGTGGTTAAGAAACGGTTGTTTTAATCTCGAACCCTAACTCTGACCTCTAACCCCTAACCCATAGCCCTAACCCCTGACCGTAACCCATAACCCCAAACCCGACAGTAGTGTGTCCATCAGGTGGGGCTACATGACCACATCATACTCAAAAATGTTCTTTCTTGCACGCATTTAGTGGCGTTTTGCGTCTTGTTCAAAATGTGTTTCGGTTTCAAAGCAGATTCTAACTAAGAGATTTTTAAGATCGCAAAATGTCCACTCATACAATATAGTATCAGCTCGTTTGTCAATCCTACCTGCATAATATACAACCGAATGAACATCCACTGCACAATTTTGCGAGTTCTATACGCCAAATTTCTAATATTAGAGAAAGACTTGTGATTTTCCTTCGACGGAATGCATAGAACATGTATGTTGGAAACCCCGAATGTAAGTGTAACGGCATGTCGTTTCCAAAATTATTCGAGACTCCAAAACGTTTTTGAAAACCGAAAGACAGTCTCCCTTCAAGCGTAGAATTTGAAGAGTAATATGCTACCAAAAGTGCACAAGTAGGTACATTTTGTGTACGTTTTCTGTAGACTGCAACTAAACTTATAAGGGCGCATAAAACCAACGGACAAAGTAATGCTACCTAAGTAGCCACCACATGCAGAGTGTAATTTTCGCATACGACTGAAGAGGAGCTCACTCGAAAACCAGCATCCTGGAGTATCCGAAATATCGTGGGATTATGCTGCACGATAATTCATATTACAACCCATCTTAAGGAAATTTTCGGAGTCGAAAACACATTGCAGAACTTCGGTCAACATTTCGTGAGATAGCACGTTTACTGCGTCCTCTCTCGGGAAAATAAGTACACCTTTGCGTCGTTATGTATGTCACTCATTCACCTAGCGAGTCTAAGAGGAAGTCTTCTTTCGTGCAGAATATGATTCGAAGTAATTTTATCAAGGAGCATATTTGGTAAGTTTGAGCGGAAATCAACTCTATCTTCTATTTAGCCATTTTCCTATGTTAATAACCGACGCGGATCGTATTTGCGCATGCATATGTGTTTTTAATAGGTGGCATTAACCGAAATGATAATTCACATTGTCTTAGCCAATCACATCTATAATAGGGCGAAGTGGAAATTTCTTATCTAATCATCGTGCAGCAGTTTGACTGACTATTCAACTGGAAGACCGAGTAATTCACCTCTGCAAATTTTCCGGGTGCGTAATTATTGCGTAGGACAAGGTGGGACCCCCTGGGATTTCCCACTTCGGCAATTCACACCGATGGTCTCCCAGTGGCGTGGAGGCAGCCATCATAGGCAGGGAGTAAAAAGCTCATTGAGCGAGCCGACGAAGTGTTGAAGTTCTGCTGAAAGGTTGGCTTCAGCTTCCCTCTCCGAGGTGTTCGCCATTCACCCAGTGAAATTCCTTCCTATGATGGAACATTGGTAATAAAAGCCCACTACCCTTCTTTCAACAAAACTATTCCGAAGCAATTTCAGAATCCCCCCCCAAACTATCTGCCGGGGTCTGATGCCTCACCAGATACGATGAATAAAAAGTCTTTGTTTGGACAACGACGTTTCCCGAATTACGTGCAAATCTAGTCTAAGAAGGCTGAAACTTCTGTTGGAATCCGAGCGAGAATCGCAAAAACCGGCGTACCTGTCAAGCAGCATGCCTTTTTTCGGACAAACCACCCATTCCAAAGGCACTGCAAATCAGAATAGGCATATAAGGAAAGCTGTGCGCATGACTTTCTAGTCTCTGAAGATGGGTAGACGAAGTAGCCACTCGAAACGTCAGACCACTTATAAACCTCTCTTCTTCTTTTGGTATGCTGCATTTCTCTGCCACTGACTTCTGTGACTTATTTGCCAGCCACATCCCAAACAGGAATCGAGAGCACCCTGACTTCGCCACCCGCAATCGTGCTAAACTCTCTCCGAAGGGTCCTGAAGTTTGGGCGGGAGCGTTTCATCCCCTGAGCTTCAAAAAGTGGACCGAGTTTCAGAATTCCGTGCTAACGGTAGCTGCTATTAGACTTGAATTTGCCTATTTAGGTTGAAAAACTGAAGGCTAGGAGATATTCTCCTTACTGCTGCACAGGTTCCTTCATGAGGCGGGTAGAAATCGCATTGAAAGGAGACGGTAGCGACGAGAGAGAGATGTTGGGAGTGGAGGGGGGGGTTGAGAAGGCCTGTAAACAGTTGTAACAGTAGGCTATATGCAGCCCTTGTCATAACCGAAATGATAACGGAGTGCACGCAGGATAACGAGAAGTGCTGTTAGCCACATTGCCTGACACAGACATCTGTGGATGCATGCTGTTAATGTAACCCTGTTTGTTCGGGTCAGCCGCCCTACTGATACCTCAACCGAGTTTCCACCGAAGGCATAATAAGGCCGCTGAAATTCCCTTGGAATGTTAGTTTAAGGCTGACCCGACGGCTGTTGACAAGATTACGGTGTATCTACTGAAACGCTACAGTGCGTGACCGATCTCATGAAGTGTTGGTCGAAATTCTGAAATTCGTTTTCGACTAGGCAGGATTAATAAGGTAACGTTATAATATTAATTGTCAGGTAGCATAATCCTATAATATTTTGGACCTGCCAGAATGTCGGCTTTTGAATGCACTTTTTTCTAAACTCCCACAGAAACTGTGCTCGGCAAATATGACTACTTAAGTAGCATGCATTTTGCACACTGATTTTCCCTGCTCTCATAGATTCAAATATATTTTACAGAAACATGAATGAAAATATGCTTTTTTCTACTTGGTTGGTGAAAAACCACATTATGTTTACATTTTACATCCGAAAAAGCGTAAATCTAGGTTTTGAAAAAGTTTCTCGGTTCCCGAATAATTTTGAGCCTAATCAGCCGTTGCATTAGCGTTTAGCGATTTCAGTCTACAAGCCGCGTGCGTACCGCGTATGGAAAATCATATATTCCTCTATGCCTTTAAGAAGATACTATATAGAGTTTGCAAAATCTTGCAATGGATACGGACCGTGTTGTACATTTCACGAGGAACATTGATAAAAGGACACGTGCGAAACTGTACATATGGACATGCGTGGTCCATATGTATTGTGAGTTTTTAAAAGGTCTATATAGGACTTTCTTAATAGCATGTATGAATGTACGACTTTGTTTAGCGGAAAGAATACAGCTTGCAGTTTTTAAACCGTAAACGCTAGCGTAACGACAGGTTGAGTTCAAAGTTATTCGGGAATTAAGATCTTCTTAAACTTGGGAGATATTACTTCTCGAAAAGAAAATTTGAAGAAAACATTATTGTTTGCATGAAATGGGCGCAAGACAGAATATTATTGTGCTTGAATTCTATAAAATACGTTCGCATATATAAATAGATCGAAAAGTAGTTCATCAGTGCATACTACTTACTCAGTCACTTTCATCTAGGGTGATTTGTGCGAACGACCGAGATTCTGGCTTGACTGAGATTTCTTGGGATCAGGTCGCGCAAAATCACATGGCAAAATTTCGATTAATACTCCACGAAATAAATCAACTTCTTGACGAAGGAGACACGATCGCCGGAACAAGAGCTTTCTTAGTCTGACGTTTCGGATTCCTGCTCGTGCCCATGATCAGAGACAAAAGCAGCTACGGGTGGTTCGTGCACAGGGGGCTGCAGTATTTACAGGATGCAGTAGCCAGGCTACCGCTTACCCATGAATATTCACGGTTCCCCCTTCATCCGGGATCGTCGCACTTGGTGCGATGACTGCTTGATGGCCGAAATTCGCGTCGTTAATCGATGCAATTTCATCACGTGTGTTGGATGTTGGTGTGATGATTGCTCGACCATCTGACGCACGGACACTGGTGTTGGGAAAAGTGTTCACCTGTGCGCTCCCCCTGTGCTGGGTCGGTGCGTCAGATGGTCGAGAAATCATCACGCCAACATCCAAAGCGTGTGATGAAATTGCATCAATAAACGGCGCGAATTTCGGCCATCAAGCAGTCATCGCACCAAGTGCGACGATCCCGGATGAAGTGGGGAACCGTGAATATTCATAGGTATGCGGTAGCATGGCGACTGCATCCTATAAATACTGCAGCTCCTTGTGCATGAACCACCCGTATCTGCTTTTGTCTCTGATGATGGCTTCAAGCAGGAATCCGAAACGTCAGGCTAAGAAAGTTCTTGTTCCAGCGATCGTGTCTCCTTCTTCAGGACCACTTCCTGAGACTCATCTCTTCGCTTCTATTGGCAAATCAACTGCTGTGAATTAACCGATTCACACACACGAAGAAATTAATCGCCGTTTAACCAAATATCCTTAAGCGGAGTTGGCCATCTGTCACAGCAAAACTAAGGACCATATTCACCTCATGGGTTATTTTAACTTCTCTTAAGAGGGTGATACGAATTCGTGTACAACCTCACAAACGTCCTTCCGCCTTGGAATGAACGTAGAAATTTGATGATCCCGAAGCCAATGTCCACGAAAATTGTCAGGACCGCTAGCAGCTTGGTGAGCATACTTTCCTTTTTGTCAGCTGTTAATCGTAATGCGACAAGTTTCGTCTTCCCCATAGGAGGATGGAACACGATTCCGGGCAACACAGATCCCCTCCAGCAGCGATTACTAAACCGACAACTCGGCGACAGGCCGTCAGCGATATGCCGAAAATTGAAATACAACGCCTTAGAAGAAGAATCCGGCTGACAGCGAAGTAGGGTTTGCACTGGTCTTCCACTGGTGAGGGCATGGCTCAGAAATGAGGACCATAGAATTCAATCTTTGAGACACTTTATAGCTGTGCTTAAAACAAGAAACTGGCCCACGACTGTTGATTGGTTATGGCTGCACTGTCACCTAAAAGGAGCTATGACCCAAAACCGTGAGGCAGGCGTAACGCCGGTACTCCGCCCTGCAGCATGACACTTTCCATTTCCTCCATTAAACCAAAAGGGTGGCAGCTCTACCTTGAGGTGTGCCGCGTCGTGCCTTTATCGGCCTTTTAAAAATCATGATACAAGTCGACCTTTTGATTCCGACAGACTTCACCTATCCGGGACCCTTTTTTCGATAATGACGTGAAGCAGGGGATAAGCTCTTCTGTTTGGGAATATCAGTCCAAGAAGGCGAAGCAGGCAGCCAGATTACAGCTCTGATAGGCTTAGCAGCGAGGAGGAGATTGCAAATGTCATTAGACACAACCATCGGCGCCCTGCATTCATTCATCATAAGTAAATTTGGGAAAAACAGCTGCTTACAGGCGCGTACAGAATGCAAAACAAGGACGGCTGCCTGCCACATGCATATACACAACGCATACACAAATGTGCTTTAAGAAGCCTAGAGATGGGGCACTCCGAACGGGCCTTTTCGGTTCCATCTCCGAGAAGACAGATAAAAAGTTTAAGGGAATCATTGGCTTTCACAATTGGAAGAAAATAATAGAATGGGACCCGGCAGACAAAGGACGAAAAAGAAGAAGAAGAAGAGGAAACTAAACATAAACCAGATGGGAAAACATGGCCCTAGCTTGTGACCAAGTTACTGCCCTTGAGCCGGTTTGAAGATGACTGGTCCAAAGAAGGTCTTGTATGGACTGTTTGTATCCTCGCCAAGGAAGTATTCAACCCAGGCTGATAAGTACTCATCGCTGCTAATTTTACCATCCTTGTCTGTGTCCAACACCTGAAACAAAATAGACGAGAGTCAAGATCTGCTCGGGACGTTCGGGGCGAAAACTGCAGTTCCTCTCTATTCAGAGGAGATCAGAAAAACCTTATTTATATATGAGAGTCCTACCGGTCGTTGATTAGTTAAGCGTACGGAGCAACTCCTTTACATTGTTGTTGGGATTCCCGACAGAAAAAAGACCACAACAGGGTGACAGTAGTGACCCGCACCTGAATTTGAACACAGCTCAGTGAGATAAGTTGCGCGCCACCGGTCTCCCTATCTTTTCCGAGGTCGGTGGCAGGAACGCAGCGTGGGGACAACGACTAACATGCGATATTTGGGTCCGGTCTTCATACATTTACCTCTCACCTTGGCCTGGTCGGTCGCTTGCGAATCCACCGCACATAGAATGGCGAGCCCTTGCCTGGAACATCAACCTAAAGTCACCGTATTCGCCTCAACTGCGCTCACTTTCCCCGCACATTCAACCACTGCAAGAGCCTACAAGGTCAGATGCGCATTCATGAAAAGCTGCGACAAAAAACCGCCGGCTACACCACACCATCACACCTTCCCCCACCTGCTCCTACACCACGCAACAATATCACCCATCGCCACACAACACAAGCTCTGCGTCACCACCTCTCACGCCAGTGGGAAGTGTACTTCTCGGTCCCTTCTCCATGCTGCGTCCCTGCTGCATATGTGATCCGAGTCTGGGACTATCATTGTGCGCCAAGCGCCGTGACTTGGAATGTTGCGAACTGACGCCTCATCTCAGTCAACGTAATCTGCCCGGTTGTATGTGTTTGTATGGAGTGGCGGACTGATGAACTGAGAGTCAGACTTAACGGTTCCTTCTTAACTTGACCTCTGGCACTCTCATGCATGTGAGGAGTGTGTGTGTGTGCATGGGTAGTGACATTCAGTCGATGACTGACCGGTTACCCGGCCCTTTAAGGCTGATGGCCCAGGCTAAATGCAGGACTGCGTATCACCTTCCTGGACCTCAAGGACTGTGTGCGTCCGCTAACCGTGGCTGTCGCAACCTGGGTGCGCTGGCAGATTTCTGGCACCTGGTTCCCTGCCGGTAGGCGCGCTTGCGCTCCCGTTGGGTATACGGGTCGCAAGCATGGTTGCCAGTCATCCTCCTCTTTCCGACTCGTTTATTTTCTTATTGGTTTAAATCCTGGTAAGGTGTTTGTTGTGCACCAGAGGGGGTTTGGTGGTAGGCCTAGGTGCGGGTCCGGCCGTGCCAGCTACCTGTGCCCTCCCTCACCTCCGGTGTTGTGTAAGTCTACCCACACTATAAACTAACTCACGCGCAAGTCACCGTCCCTGCTCTCACCTTGCTGTGGAGCCCACGGCGGTCGAACTGTCGGGTTCGGTCTGCTTTGCATATAAATACACCAGCCGTGTCAGATGTAATACAGTCAAATATCAATGAGTCTAACAGTTGGTATCAAAATCCCACTTAGAATAAGCCTTCGCAATCTGCCTCTCGTTGCAAAGCCAACGTTTTTTTTCCAGTTGCAAAAATTCATCTCCAAGGCCACAGGGGTACAGGGAGAGTTTAGATGCTCATAACCATAGCTACTGTGAGATAAAGGTGTCCGCTGTCGACATTTCCCTTCCCCTCCCACATAGTTACCAAGGTATAACAGTGGCGGAGCCCGGACGGCTGAGGAAGACATCGGGCACGTTTGCTTGTCAAGCCTTTCGCGCATTCTTCAGTATACCAAGAAAACACACACACGTCAGTTCGACCATTGCGAAATCGCACCTCAAACCAAGGTGGTCTCGGTACACGCATGATGGATGGGGTTTCCACACTATCAAGAAAGGAAAAGCTCGAATTCAAAGTGAATGGGAGTGCCATAGAGGCCGCATTATAAGGAGCCATTGCAGCCTGACTCTCAGTCCTAAAACGCGGACGGAGCTATCCCGTCGGTTGGCAGTCTTTCAAGCCATGGCTTTTGGATCCTTGTGGTAGCTTATAGGTGCATCAAATTGCTTTTAGTAAGGAATATAGGCTTAAGTGCCGTAGGTGCGGAGTCTCCCGTATCTGCCTCATTCTCCTTTACCTCCCCAATGCACCATTTCATCTTCGAAGCCGGTCAGCCATCTCGCACAGGAAGTGGAAAACATACAACCGTCCGAGCGTCATTTCCGACGATGTCTACCGTTTTACTCACAACAGGCTGGACGCAAGGATGATTAGTTGCGTGTAAATTAGATTAAAGTGGCAGTTGACTTAGGCAGCATCTACCACATTCTTTTCTCCTTACCGCCATGGGCCCGACGTCAAGACAAAGTCAAGAAGACTGGAGGCAGGAGGGGGAGCGCAGGTGGCTGTCACGGCGAAAATCCGCACCTAGGCGTACCACCACACCCCTGGTCCACAACCCCCAGTGACCAGGGTTTTACCACTCGGATCTCTGTTGCCGTGGCGTGAGTCTGTAAAAGAGCATGCCGCCAGGCCCCAGTGTTGACATTTATAGTGGGTACGCATTCCGATAACGCCGGTCGGACTTCGATCTGGTTCCCCCTCCCCCTGTTACTCCAGCACATCTACCGCGTGGTCTGTTTTAGGGGCAATCACATACACACAAAGACTGGCATATCCAGTCGAACCAAATCGGTCATGCCTTCTGCTACAATGTCGGAGTCCCAGTTCTTATCAAGAAACCTGGTGAGGCCAATTTTTATACGTGCATGCGAAACAGCTGACTGTTTTTGCTACTTAAGTGTTACCATGTTACCTTAGAAGAAATCGTGTAGTAAGTGAATTCTGCACGGTTGCGAGTTCATTTAGTCAACGTTAGACAGGGACATGCGCGTTCCTCTTTCCTCAGACTTTCGTCACTCGCAAAATTATCCCGGTTAGGTGACTTTACTCATATTCCCTTCAAAGCAACGGGATCATCAGTCTGTCTCGTAGTTCGGACTTCTTCTTCCGACACTCTAAACACCCCAAACGTCTTCGTGGAGTTAGCACTTGAAAGCACTCACCCTCCGACGAAGAAGCTCAATCGTCATTCTCATTCAGTCGTTTGGTAGTGTCTACAGGGACTATGGACCAGCGCTTCAATGAAAACGGAAAACCCGACCAGAAAGGGTAGTCTTGAGGTGACCGCACATGCATTAGTGGTCTGCTGTTTTGAAATCCCGCAGTACATGGTCATATTTTGGCGGATCTTCCTAAAGATACCAACACTTTAAGGGAAATTTAGATCGAAAACTTACTCGGGAAAGGTTCTAGTAAAATCACGCTTTTCTTATCAAATTCACCCACGTTTAGTTAATGAAAATGAGCATTTCGGAAATGATAAAAAAAACGATTACTGCGTAGGTGCCCACTGAGCCAAACGTTCGGCTATGCTCTGTAATGCCTGTGTCCTCCATCTGCAACAGTCACGCAGGGCGAAAAATTCGTTGCTTATTTGAATAACTCAGTCGGCTTGTAGGACGATCATGCCTGAATGATTACTTAAGCTATCTGCTGCAATGTTGAGTAATGCTCGTAGCTCACAGTCCACGAGGACCCGAGCAACAACATGCACATTATAGTAGAGGAGCGGTTTAGGCTGCCCTCCAATAAGCAGTGAGAAAGGTCGTGATGAAACGTGCTCACTCACCTTAAACATTCCCTCCGCCTCACCCCGACCGACTCGCCAGGCCTCCTGCAAGTTTCGATATTCTGTCATGGAGATGTAACCGGTGCCTTCAATGTCCACGGCTTTGAAGAAGGTCCAACCAAACTGGTCAATCTGATGTCTGAAATCGCCATTGATCATTGAGCGAAGATTGTGTATGAACTGCTTCTCTGTTAGTTCAGTGAAGTGATTGGCTAGAAGTGGATAAAATTTGAGAGGAGCAGAGTTCGCGTCAAGTCTTCATATTTATGTTGGCGTACACGCACACACAATATTCGCCAAAACCCATAAACCATTGACACTCGTCGGTAATTCTACGTCCGGATTAAGTTATATTAGAGCGCCAAGTAGCTTGGCGCATATCACCAAATCTGCGCATACAAGGCATATGCTGGCTTTTGTTTGGACAAAGTTTTGGTCGCTTAAATCATATATTTTTAAAAAACTGCGCGCAAAAACTGATTTGTATTTTCGGGCAACTCGCGTTTCCCTGGCTATTTCGATCGAAACAAAGGTACATTTCGGTTTTAAAGGAGTTTACTGCATCAAGAGTTTTTTCTAAAAAAATAATCAGTTGTCATTTCTTTGCACAGCTTGTAAATTAAGTCTATCGCAGTCGCGCTGGACCAAATTCATGATCTCTCTTCGAATCTATTTGGGGTGCCTCGTCTTGTCTCGAGTGATAATCATGGAACAATCTCAACTGAGTACTAGTTACAAACCCTTAAAGGACTGATAAGCACCTTCGTTTTAACCACACAATCGTGAATTGCCAAATTTTTGCTAATACGCATTTTGCACTTATTCGCTCCTTCAAGAATATACGAACGAATAAAAGCAAGAGGGGAAGATCACAGCCATAACACCTGTTACGCAAGTAATTATCTGTTCTCTGGGGTGTGATTTGCTGGGAGGAGAGGTTATCTACAAAGATGTTCAATCAAAAGCCAGCATAATGCCATGTACAAATCAACTTTGAGTGAGTGCCGCGCGTTAGTCGTCATTGAAACTGCATTTTGGGGAACGCCATTGTTTGAACAACATATTTAAAAATGCAGGGTCAATGTTTTCATGAGTTTCGGCTCAAATTACACATATGATAGAGTATCAGAAGATGTTAATTTGTCCTAATTGAGGTTGATGCCGATGGAGTGAGTTTTAATGCATGCTATAAGCTGGCTGATAATCGGTGATGTTATTAGGGGTAGGCGGAAGAGCAGAAAGAAATGAATAAGCAGCGCAAAGCAAGAAGTTTATTTTTTCTACTATGATCAGGCGCCAGAATGCCGAGTTACCGTAAAATTACGTAAAAAACACAAAATATAATATATTCTGGCGGTAGTTTCATAACAACTGAGCAAGCTGAATACTTGTCTTTTCAGGGATATCCATCAAATGAAATCTAACTGGCCCACATGGCTTGCAAGGCATACAAAATGAGTTTAAAATTGTCTACAACACGAGTTAGTATGGAGAGAATCCAACATTCAAGTGCTACCAGGCACGTTGGCATTTGCTAATAAAATAAAATCCATGGGTGTACCTTCTATAATACGGCCAGACACGGGGATAGGAACCCCCTGCCGCGGTTGTGCGTTTTCTCTTGCGCAAGCATTTAGGGAGGGTGAATGTTCCCGTGACCTAGTCTTAATTTTATTACTGGCCAGCATCGCTCTGCAAATTAGATTAAAGCTCCCGGAATAGGGGAGGGGGCGGGGGTTCTATTCCCTTGTCATGCTAATAACTGATAATGCGCTTGTTGACGGTTGCTAGAAGATGACCAAAGATGTTGTTGCAGCCCATTCTCTGGCATTCAAAGCATGCTTCAAAATTTGATTCGACATAACTACTTTCCCCACCACCTAAACCCAGGCATGCAGGCAAATACTTACTGGTGTTAAGTCAAGATTCGAGTATACTAGCCTGAACAACCGCACCCTTTTGATTAGTCATCATTAGGCTTAGAAAGTATGCAGATGCGCGGGACTTCACTATGCACTCCTGGTGCCTAGTGTTTTCGTCAGCAGACTGGCCAAGGTGGTATGTGTTTGGAAAATCGGAAAAAAGCGTCACTACCTCTAACTACGTTTTGCACATGCCACAAAAACTTATCCTGCCATGAACAGTAGGCAATATTTAAAAAGTATGGGAGTCTGCTGCCGGAATATGTTGCTTCTGACATAACTTCACAGTCCTGTGCCCATCTGAAAGAGTTGCCGACAAAATGTTCGGACAAGCTGATAGTGCCAAAAAGTGCAGATTTACGCATTAATTAGGCGGGCAGCTGAGTCCCGCAAAAGATAAGGGCGCGAAGAGGGAAAACGTTCTGGCCAATATCGTGAAATTACGGTTCAACATGATCATAAATTGGATTGTCATAATCAGCACCTTCATTATCATGCTTACTAGTGCCGCCGCCGCTGTCACATCATCATCCTCCTTCCCCTCCTACTCATAATCATAATCATAATCATAATCATCATCATCATCATCATCATCATCATCATCATCATCATCATCATCATCATCATCATCATCATCATCATCATCATCATCATCATCATCATCATCATCATCATCATCATCATCATCATCACTGCCACCATCGTGAAGTATTGCAGGCAACCTTCTAAGGGTAGAATTACCCTCACTGTTCATATCTAACATGCATAAGGGCCAAGAATTCTCTACTGTGCATAGGCATGCAATAAGTGAGGACTGCTGAGAGGAACAAACCCGTTTCTCCTTTCTCAAATGCTTTTGATTGAGGAAAAAATAGGTAATTTTTAACAGGAAAACAATTGGACGAATTAAAGGAGAGAATTTATAGATAAACTTTGAACAGTAAACAGGTCTACCTTTGAATTCCAAAATATATGCAACCTTAATTTGTCAGCGGCCCGCATCAGGTGGACGAACCGAGGACTAAACTTTTGCAAAATACTACGAAAAGAGGTAGCTATACAGAGTTTGCTCGCAGAAATCGCCTGGACCTAAAGAGTATGAACATTTAACTATCCTCTGAATAGTAAGAAGTGTCTTCTTCTATTTGTGGCCTTGTTAAATCAAACGTCCGTTGATGTTAGGGAAGAAACGCTAGACAAGGATTTGTAGGCAGGTAAGTGGCACGAAGGTACCTCATAAGTCATCAGCTAGTCAATTAAGTAGACACAAATGAAGTTTTGGAGTGCTGTTTCTACGTTTCTTTCAAAAGAAGTATTTTTCGGATGTCTTCATAATATTGCTCTTGTCTAAAGCAGTCAGACTAAAACTTATCACCAACAGAACACAGGTTTCCTTAAAATCTCGGAGATGTATGTTTTCTTATAGGAAATTTTTCCAAATTCTGGAAACTGCTTGCGCAGGCCTTACTTTTCAGCATCTTTGCAGAGCACTTACAAACTACCTTGGTTTTCAAGGAACCGTCTTTTTCACTTGATGTCCCGAAAAGTGAAAACAGTAGCATTTAGCTAGAGCGAACAACTTTGACGTGGCTGCATGTATCACCTATTTAAGAAGTAGATTACTGCATTTACGTAAAATCTGTTCTCTACTTTGTTTCAAATAACCCCAAAATTTCCAGCCAACACCCATCGAAGATTTATTTAAGTAGATACAGTAACTCACCATCTTTGTCGACGGAGAAATAGTGTACCCAAATGTCCAGCATTGAACGCATTAAGGCATCCGCCTTGTGCTTGTTCAAGTGGTTTCTCTGGGCCAAACTTCGTCCAATCTGGATAAAGTCATGGCACCGCAACTTGCCCGCCTGATTAATATCCAGACGCCGGAACATTGTCCTCATCTTACCCTCCCAAGTGGGTCCGCACTCGCATTCGGGGTAGTCCTCGGGTCGCTTGTAATTTATCAGTGCTCCCCACAGCTTCGCTGTCTTGCCCTTGATGTTCTCATCAAAGAAGTACTCCGCAATCAGACCCTCATACTGCTCTTTGGTGATCTTGCCCTTCTTGTCGCCGGCCGAGTCCGCCAACCGGAAAACCAGTTCTGCCTCCTTTTCATTGCCCCGAAAGGCGTCAATGATGCCTACGAACTCATTCATCTGAATGAGCCCATCGTGATCTGTGTCGACTAGGTCAAAGAAGGTGTCAACCATGATGTTCTTGAATTCCTCCTTGAAGGCCTTGTTGATGCACTTCGCCATGCTCTCCACAAACATGGCCTCATTCATCTGAACGTGGGTGCGCGTGTGTTCTTCACCAATGGTGCAGATAACGCCGTACCACAGATGAACCATATTCTGCACCACCTGATCCTCGAAGAAGTGGTCGCACTTAGAGAAGGTAGTCAGGATGCGCGAGGCAATATCCAGGAAGTCACTGACGCAGAGGTAGCCATGCCCATTACTGTCAAGTCGACGGAAAATGGTACGCATCTTGCGAATCCATCCGGGACCCCCGGCAACTTCGGGATAGCTGACTGCGGGCGTGAAGTTCATTGCTCCTGTGGTGTTGAAAGGGCTGTGCTGCCCTGACTGGGCCTTGGCGTTCGGAGGAATGTAGGCTTTAGGACGGCGAGAAAACTCGTCAGGCGCAGCACTGTCGGTTCGATAGGGCTACGAGGCAGGGCACAGGGATGACCAATCGGCAGCGTGGGAGAGGATTTCGTGGGAGGATGAGCCAATCACTGCAGAGCGTCAGCCTTCAACACACACCCACGGGCACAAACAGAGGTGCTGGAACCTTCGGTCGTATTGTCAACACAAAGCCTAACTGTTGAGACATGGAAACGGATTTCTGTAAATAAGTATTCTCGATATCACCGACCTTACTCTACGATAAAACCTTGACGGCTTCGTATCAGCAGATTTCCTCATGCACAAGAGCATGTACGCGGTAACCGGATAGACGTGATTTCGGAAGGAAAAGTAGCACTTTCTCCTGCCTTGCTGAGTTCTTCAAAACGACTATATAGACAGAGACAACAGTTCGCCAGCATGCTCTAGATCAGAATGAACATATGTCATAAATTAACGCTTTTAATATAAATCAACCCAACTAGACGCATCACCTGATTAAATGACCGATTGAAAAAGTTGACGCTTCTTCCAGAAACCATGCTAGGATCCTGTCCAGAAAACTAGGCATTTGCTTATCCTAACAACTAAAATCATGATCTACAGATCGGGCCTCCTAACAGTCGTGTGGAGGTCACAACCCTTTATTATGACATGATGGGAACAGGGAACGAAGCCGTACCAGTCTGCCCTGACCCCACACGTTTGGGTCCCAGTGGGAATATGTGAGGCAAAAAGGCATCATTTCGTCGAGTGCGATATCCCTCCCCCCTCCGGGGAACATCAAAGGGATGGAATGACTACTTCTGGTCTGGTCGCTGTGCGTTCCGTGGGAATATTGTTACTTTCACTAATAAACTGCAACTGGACGTGTGACTCAGTTGTGCAGTCTACGTCTCTAACGTCGCCGACGCGGTTCTTCACGACGGGAGGGAATCTGGAAGTCTTGCCTTCCTTCTTACTTAAAAAATAATATGCAAGCTCTATTGCAATCCGAGATTTCGTCGAAACTTTGTCTACATTTATTTATTAAGTCACATCCAAAGTTTCTGTACGGATCAGTTTTCAGAGCAAACTTCCGGAAAAACCTGCTTTTATATTCAACCAGAGGAATCGGTGTTTTTGCTAAAACTGTCTCCGATAGTCCTGAAAGTTTATATTAACAATCTTAATTTGAAATTCTCTGGCCTTATGTGTTTGAGAAAACAGCTACTGTAATATTTACAGGTTTTTAACATGCACACAAGAAAAGATGTTGAACACTATAACTTCGTGATACTGTTTCAGGGGCTACGGCACAGCCCATCGTAGAAGCTTACAGCATACGGTATTGCAAGTATCATCACGACGAAATACTGAATACTAAGATTTTCAAGAGACAAAACATGTTTTCTATTTAACCGAATTTAATTTTAGCTGTATTTTTGAGACATAACAGTGTGCTGTCCGTCTGTTGATAGTGTTTTTCACTTAACATACACTTCAATAAGCCCCTTGGTTTGAAAAGGACCATTCAGTCTTGACGAAGCAATAAGAGACTATCTTGTTTAAATGCGTCGAAATTCAGTAGGAAAATATTATAAGCACCTCTGCATTATAGCTGACCTCAGGCTACATTTTAGTGTGGATTAAGGCAAGTGTTCATGTTGGATTAAGCCTTGGTGGGACAGCACTGAATACAGACATATAAATGCATCTAAAACTCGGTTAAGAAGGTGTTAGTATACTGGTTAGCAACGGAACTCGACATTGGCAGGTGACGGACGAAGGGCACGGAAAGCATTAAATACAAACATAAAAATGCATCTGAAACTCGCTGACTGATCACAATAAACGCACTGGCAATAACTCCGGACACGACGATAATCTCACTTGAGAGGGGCAGTAGGGAGTTTCCTGGGGATGTATTTAAACAAGAAGTGTGATCGAAAGACTATGTAAGTAGAGCTTAATAGCTAAAGCACGACATGGCATCACTTTGAAGGAGGGAATTTTCGACGGTTTAGCCATAGTAAATGATCTCTGATGCGATGGGACCAACGTCCTTCCAATGTTCAGTCTCGAAAGCTAGGGGAGACATAATCAAGTCCAATACGAGTGCTGTCAGTATACCATTTTTTGCATAAACGGTTGAATGAAAGTCAGTGTACTAAGGGGCATTGAGTCCCACGTGATATAACCTGATTTAAAAACAGTGGTTAACTTTATGTGGGGTAGGCGCCAATAATTAGAGTTCACGTCCACTCAAATTGAAATGACAGTAGGGGACATTTATGGTGGACTTGTTGGATAGGGCAAGAGCTAAAGCCACGACATTCAAAGTCACGAAACACTCCCATCACAGCCGTTGGTTGCTTTCCAAGGTGAAAATAAGTTTTAAGGACGGGAACCAGGACCTAAAATAAGCTTTTATCCGCATAATGTAGTCGGTGTTTCGGCGACCGGAGAGACATCATTCCTACCGGACCTATCAAGGATGGATGGAGGCTACCTAACTAGAAGCATTATCAACTGCAGCCCTTACTGGACATAACAGTCAGACAACAATGCAAGGATACATTAGAATAAGGTGCTTCCATAATAACAGCAGAGGTACTAGCCAAAAGTCCATATACGCATGTTTGGCCGATCTTCTGCCGTTGCATGACAGCTACGAGGGGTTTGGCTTGTCAGTTGGTCCCCCCTCCAAGGTTGCAGTTAATTTCTAAGGAAATTAAAAAAGCTACAATGCAAGGATAATTGTTTCCGCAAAATACCGTTGGTTGTCTGCAGAACAATACGGAAGCTAAGTGAACTGATAGTTGCTAGACTAGGCCCACGACGATTAACAAGCCAGAAATGGCCATTCCGGTCTACCTTGTCTTTGCCGGTAATGCCGTTCTGCCTATATTAAGCGCCGCTGTGTGGCCGCTGGTAGGGCTCGAGAGGGAGCTTCACGGCACAACGGTATGAGTGAGTCCCGGAACGCGATCGGTGAGCGCCACCTACCATCGTTAATATATCAGATCGCAACCGAGAGGACAACGAGCTCGTGGCTCAATGGTTAGGGCGTCGGACTCTTAACCAACAGGTAACGAGTCTGAGCCTTTGGGGTTTGATATCTCGGCATTGGGTATGACTGGCCGATGACGGCTAACAAGCCAGAAGTTACCACTCCAGTTCCCCTTGTATTTGTCGATAATTCTGAAAACACAACTCGCCGAAGGACGCCAATTTAGTAACTAGTGGCCAAGGTTGAAGCACAACACTCACTCCCACGGGCAGGACCGTGTCTACGGTGTACCTTTTCGAGAAACTGACCTTCCGGCAATAAAATATAGGTGCTTCGTTCAGAAGCTGATCAGATAAAAAGATTAAGACCGTTACCTTTGCAATTTGTAAACAAAAATTGGGGAATTTTTTGGAAATTAAAAAATAGCACAAGCTCTAGATGTATCTAAATGGCAAATCTAAATAAAAACTAGCTGAGAAGCAAACACCTCATGCTCTGCTGACATTCTATTCTGCATGATCCCACAGGCACGATTTCCTGCCGCGTCTGGGAGTCTCTCTTATAGGCGCACCAGTCAATAAAGTTATAGGTGGTTATTTCGTTTAATGCATTCGCTTACAAAGAACCCCGAAGCCTTTACTCATGACTCAGCACGGTTTCTCAGCAAGAGGAAGGGCGACAGAGTTCCAGATGACGAAATTATGGTATCCTTTGACGTTATTTATTTTTTCGCGTCTGTTTCTGTAGACTTTACGAAACACCGCATCGGAGAACACCTACAGACTTATTCTGCCAATGTACCCCGCATGCCTTGTTTGAACAGCTTGATCTAGAAACGATCTCTTCCTTTGTCAAGCAATGCTCTCGAGAGCGAACAGCACCCTCTTTGGATTCATCAATATCAGTCTTTTGGTCAGAAGCAATAATAAATAAATTTCAAGCTACAGTTCATCCCACAGCCCACCCGAAATCGTCGTCGTGTTATGTAGACGGTACATTTGTTATTGTCAAAGTGGATCAATTTTTATACTCCACAATAATCGCAACTCTATGACCATTCGCAGGAAGTCAACTTACTTTTGAAAGGGACGTTGAGGGAAACTCCCATTCCTAAATGCTCCAGCACACCGAAGGACTGTTGAGACATTTTGAATCTCCGTTCAACGCAAAAGTACATACAGTAGGTGGGGTAACTCAAGAAATGTTAACCAAAATCCCCAAATGAATTTTTGTTACGAAAAGATTAATTAAAAAACGTTGTAAAAATAACCAGCCTGCAACATAATTCTACAGTGCGTAACCTATTTCATCAAATGTTGGCTGGAATTCTGAAATGCGTTTTCGATTAGGAAGGATTACTTGGTCGCGGTTGTGATACTGATTATCTTAAGGCATACTCTTATAACATTTTAAACTTGGCAGGATGTCGGCTTTAAAATGCGCTTCTCTTCAATCTCCTGTAGAAAGCATGCTTGGTAAAAAATGACTACTTAATTAGCATGCATTGTTCCCATTGATTGTCGATGGTCTTGGAAATTCAAATATATTTTATAGACACCACAAACAAAAATACGCTTTCTTCCAGTCAAGTAATGAAGAATCACGTCTTCTTTATATTTTATACTTAAGGAAGGAGTATGTTTAGGTTTTAAAAAGTTTCTAATAATAAGACTTTTTAAGACCGCGATATGTCCATTCACATAGCATCGTACCTGGCCGTTAACCACTGCTCCTCATGAAATGTACAACATGGTCCGCATCCATTGCAAAATTTTATGGACCCTGTATAATACCTCTTTAATGACATAAAAAATATGGGATTTTCTTTACGCGGAACGCATGCATCTTGTAGAGTGTAATCACTAAGCGTTAATGCAACGAATGATCAGGCTCCAAATTATTCGGCAATTGGGAAACTTTTTTAAAACCT